ACATGGGAAAACTGAGGTTAAGGGAAAAAGCAAAAGCCTCATTACAGCCCAGCTGTCCTGATTCCTGTGGGTTCCTGGGGATCAGCGTGGCCTGAGTCAGGAGCCTCTGGCCACCTTTTTCAGATGCTCCTCACCTTCTTCCCTGGCAGCATCCTTGAGATCGCGGCTGTCTCCTGCTCCCCTCCAGGGCCATCTACTTCATGGTGCTGGAGTGGCAGGTCTCATTTTGGGTGTGCCCAGAGACACTTAGGCTGGATCAGAACTTTTAGAGAGCTCTCCTGCTGGCTAGCCCCTGCCAGGGACCCTAGGGGACAGGCCGCTCCTAGGGGACCTCTGCTTTCCTTTCATTTTTCTCAGTGACTTGATTGGATTGCCTCCCACTCAGTGTCCCTCACTTCATTCTAGAACCTATTTTACACCTGAGCAGGGCAGAGAACTAATATCTATGGAAAGCCGTTATGTGAGGTGAGCACAGAGTAATCCCAGTACTCCAGAGGCTGAGGCAGGAGGAGAGCGAAACTCCATCTTAAAGAAACAAAACAAAACAAAAACAAAAGCAAGCAGGCCACTATGTGCCAGTCCCTATGCAGGGCGCTGTCTTTTCATGTTGACCACATAAAAATGAAGGTTGAGGCCCGTATTACACACAGGGAAACCCAGGTTCAGTGAACATAAACCCCCAAGGTCACTCAGCGGGTAAGAGGAGTTATTAGGATTGGGGTCCAAAATCCTTTCTTGGTAACTCACTCCTACTCTCTGGTTGTCTCCATCAGACCGGCTTGGAGGGGGAGGGGCCAGACAGCGCAGGGCGCAGTGGGAATCAGCAACGAGGACCCTTTGGGGAACTTTTCCCATTGAAAATCTGTTCTCTCGCGGCCACGGGTGATGTATGGCTGGAGTTGATGAGATAGGTGCGTTGGAATGGAGGCGGGTGGCACGGGCCGCCCGCGCAGGGGCAGCGCGGCATTGAGATTCTGCAGGGCGCAGGGGGGCGGCGCAGGCCCTGACACCGGCTGGGTAATTGATCTGGAGGTGCCAATTTGCAGCAACTAAATATTTGGTTTCTGCTTCTGCCTGCTCCGCGCTCTGCTCAAACAAACTTCAATTAAAAGCGAAAAGCGAGGGTTGGGGAGGCGGCGCGCCCGGGTCCCCGCGGCCCAGATCGATGCCACCGAGCCTGAGGGCTGCCAAGCGCTGCACGCCAAGCTGGGGACACAGCGGACGAGGGAAGGGCGGGCGCCCTCTTCCGGATCGCCGAGCACCCGGTCCGCGAGAGCCAGGGCCCAAGGGAGGGACCCTGGAGGCCGCACGGCGCCCAAGAGCAAAGGCTTAATCTCAGCTCGGAGGAGAGGACCAGCCCCAGTATCTTACCAAGCGATGGATACAAATAGGACCTCCACCCGGGAAGTCTGAGCCTGTGTACTAGGTCAGAGACCCCGGAGAAGGACGGGTTCCTAGGCGCTGACCCTGCTCTCCAGGATGCACCTCAGCAAAGGCACTTTGAACATGGCCTTACTATTCAACTGCATTCTTTCAGCAGCGCTGAAAGGGGAACTGGCTGTAGCGCTGTTGGGGGAACTGGGAGCAGAGGTCTATCTCCTCTCCCATGTCAGCTCACCCTCGGGTGGGCCACAGAGCTGGAGGTGAATTCTCTCCCAGGCCCCAGGCTTGAAGGAAGCTGAAGAGAGGGTTTGGAATTGGGGGAAGGAGTGGTGACAGCCTGGGGAAATAGGCAGGGTGTTGGGGAAAATGGCTACAGCCTGTGTGTAGTACAGAGCTATATCACTGGATTCCAATAACCTCCTTTTGGGGTTTCAGACAGACATAGCAACAATAACCATTCACTGGGTGGAGTTAGCCCATAGGGCAGTTTCTGTCCCTCAAGGATCTTCCAGTACTTTGGCGGAAAGACCCAGGGGCAGGGAAGGCAGCTCCTTAGTTGAGTTGGCAGGCCAAGTGGCTTTCCAGGGTCTGCTGCCTGGGCAGGCTGGGGGAGGGCTTAAGACATTTCCAGGAGAGCCATGATCAGGGTGGTGATGTAGCAAAGACGCATCCGTGTTGGCACAGATTCAGACAGATGTAGAGTGGAGGGGACTTGGTGTCCTTTCACCTGGCTGGAAGTTTCTTGAGAGTCAGAGGTGGGACATAAAGCAGAGGGGCTAGGAAGGTAAGTGGAGAACCCTGTCCCTTCCCACACTTCTGCGGTCCACTTTCTGGAGTGGAAGAGAGGCCCTTCACCAAGTCAGGCTAGTCCCTTCAGCTGAGGCTGAGCACAGGACCTGTTCCATGCTGTCTGTGGGATCCCCTTGGCTTGGAGTGGCTATGGGAGCACAGCTCTTGCCTGTATGGGCCCCAACTTCAAGGCCCTCGCATGATGTTGCAAGATTCCTCTGGGTGAGGCCTGGGTGCTATCCCCATCCCACCTCCTCTCTTCATTCCCCTCCTGTCCTCTTCAGCTCCAAGCAAATGCCTCTCCTCCACCCTCTTCATGCACCCTCAGTCCCTAGTTCTCTTTATGGCTTGGGGCACCTTTCTCCCCATCGTAAGGAAGCTGGATCCAGAGTTCTGTGTGAGTTTGAGGAACAGCCAGGGGCCGAACTGTCCCCAGGAGACTCCCCATCCACCCGCTCCCACTGGGAGGCCCTTGACCCTCCCAGTGGCTACAGCGCTCCCTGCTTTCTGCCTGAAGCCCCTTCTGAGTCTGCATGCTGGGCGCCTGCTCCCTCACATCCCTCCCTCTCTTCCTCCCTCTTCTAGAACGCTGAGCTGTGGAGCAGAATGATTTCCTGTAATTGGCCAGCAATCTGGCCGCCCGACTTGTTCTATCGACATGCTGGTTAGCTGGAAATTGTATTGGAATCTGAGCGACAGGGAGGGGAAGGGAAAAGTGGGAGAGCAAGGAGGCGGCTTTGGGTCTCAGCTGGGTGCAGCCTCAGCTCTACAGGGTGGGATGGAAGAGCCACTAGCTACCTCTTCCCTTCCTGGAAGGAGCAGGAAAGGAACCAGTGGCACCTTATTACCTCCTTCATTTTACTTCTTTTCTCTGGCCATCTCCAGAGGCCTCCTCTGTGTGCCCCCATGGCTGGAGGTTATCACTGCCACCCCAATTCCCTCTCCTGCCCCTGGGACTGTTTTCTACTAACCTCAAGTGCCTTTGTGAGAACAAGGGACACTCAGCAGATGACACTCCATCCCTCTCCCATCCAATTTCTAGACATGAGTCCCAGGCCTTCAGTTACCCCTCTTCTTGTCCCCCTAAGAGAAGAAAGAACATCTGAAGAAGAGTTGTCAATTGCTTGATAAAAAGCCAAGCTGCAATCGGTAGGGGCAGTGCTGGTAGCTGGAGGAACACTGTGAGTCTAGATGCTTGGGGTCCCATCTGCTGGTTACTTCTGTAAAATTCTGGCCCTGCCTCCCTCACTCCATCAGCTGGGAAACTTCAGGAGTGAATGTGGTTTGTAAACTGTAAATCTGTGAATTACCGTCGGGACAGACAGGACCTCGGGATGAAAGTGGTTGTAGGAGCCTGGCCTTATCCTTCATCCCTCTTCAAGAGTCGGGTAGCATTCTCAGGCGTCCTTACAGCTCCAAAGCGGGTGGTAAAGGTCAAGCCGAAAAGTGGAGCACAGGGCTCTGGGCGCGCAGAGGCTGGGGACACATCCATCCGCCTTCGCGGCGCCAGGCGAGAGCGTAGAGCGCCTGGGTCCACACGCATCTTTTTAAATTGGCGCTCGTGGCCAAGCGCTTCCGTGCTCACCTGCAGCGCGGCGCCCGAGGGGATCTGAGGCCGTCAGCCGCCGCCCGGAGGAAGCTTGGAAGGGCTTTGCGAGCTAGCGCAGCCCGAATCTGGGCCCAACTCGGGTCTGTGCTGCCACCTGCCGGTTGCATGGGACGCTGCTGCCCCGGAGCAGGGCTGGGCTCTGGCAGGCCCATCCCGGCTGTTTCCAGAAGCGGCAAGTAGCTGAAATCCCACTCTGAAAACGCAGGCCTTTTTCTAAGACCACCTGAACCACCAAACCTAGGACAAGAGCCCGAAGGAGGGAGGCGTGGGGAGTGGGAGGGAAGCTTTGGCGCGACCAGGGCCAGCGCAGAACTGCATTTAAGGCTTCTTCACACCTTTGCGTGCGCCAGGAAAGAAATAAACTCTGGAAATTTAGTTTGCAAAAGGTTTTCACTGTCTTCCATTTATTAGGCGCTGTGATCTAAGCATCACAGTCTACTTGGCAGTACAAATCTGTGATCACATTGCAAGTAGGAGACAGAGCTGGGTCCAATACTTGTTCTCCTGCTTCTCCTAAGAGGTTCTGGGGTGCAGTGAGCAGTTCAGAGCAGGGCTGTGTGACTCAAATCAAATCCCTCCCTCCCTGTGCCTGGAACAGGTACCATCAGTGTTGTCACCTTTAGGCTGTCACACATGCAGCAGTATCCAACATGTCACAGGCATTCATGAAGAGTCATTTTCTCAATTACTGGGATAACGACACTGCAGGGAGTCAATACCTTTCCTCTCTTTTCCCCAGTTCTATCAGATCCCACCAAACTGGGGAAGGGGAAGCAGGTGGCTTCTGCCACCAGCCTGGTAGCTCTCACTGCCTGACCCAGTCCCTCTTAGCTCCCCGCGAGTGTGCAGTGAGTTAATGAGCTGGTCTCTGTGGTATGAGCAGCTCTGGGAAAGGGGACATTAAATATGGCCCCTGCTGCATTCACATTAGTCACACTCATTTCTGGCCTTAATAGGCTGCTGAGTGCAGGATCCACACATCAGCAGGTCTGCAGGCGCTGATAGGGAAGGCTAATGTCTGTACTGGTCTAATTGGGTTGAGGAAGGAAGATATAGTAGGAGAAGTGGGTGTGATGCTGCCTGGGCACTTCTATTCACCTCCCACGAAATTACACAGGACACAGCTGGAGTCCTGAGGCTCAGGCTTCATTGTGAGAAGAGGCTCCCAAATGAGTGGAACCCAAATGAGTGTTTCAGATCAATGATTTATTGAGCACCAATGGCAAGCACTAGGGTGCAAAGATGAGTAAGCCAGCCCTGCCCTCAAGAGGCTTACAGACTAGTAAGAGAAACCAACCAGTTTCTGGCTAATTACCATACCATGGATTAAGGTAAAACATGGGATGGTGCTATCCCAGAGCACTTATCCCAGCCTGAGGCTTCAGAAAGTGCCTGAGTTGGGTTAGACAGTTGTAGGGGAAGAAAAAGATATACCAGGCCAGGGAGCATCCAGGAGGAAGGCACAGAGGTAAGACTGTGGGGCCTGTGGAGTACCAAAAGTTCAAGGCTAAGAGGCAGTGGACAGGGTGTGGGGAACATAGAAGAAAACCCAATGAGGTGAGTCTCCCAGAAGAACCCTGCCTCTGCCTGGCCACAGCATTCCACATGAGATGATCTATACTTCATCCTGGCCAATGGTTTCATCCAGGAGAGAGCCCTGTTTGAATTGAGAAGCTCTTGATCCAGAAAGATCATGGTCTACTAAGGAGTTTTGGCCACAATGGGGCAGGTGCTCAGAGAAAGTTCAAGACCAGGGAACCCTTGCCTTCCAGTTGTAACCACTAGTGAGGACTACAGAGTCTGCTCCCCACTACCATACATGGGCGTCGGTAAATCTAATGCTTATTTCCTGCCTTCATGGATATTTACTGTTTTGTAAGTAGTGCAAGTGGACGGAGAGGTACTGGGGAGGGCAAGAAGAACTGCTGCTTCTTGGCCTCAGACAGGATGCGCTCCAAAGAAGGGCTGGCCCAGCACAGAGGCTGGCCCAGATTGAGTGATTGTGTATGTGTGTGTAAACACCTGGTACCTGATGTTAGCCTTCAAGGAGGTGGAGATCTGGTGCTTCCTGCCTTGGTAAACTGTGCTAGAGGGAAGGCAGAAGGTAGCGGATGAACAGGTAGAGGAGGCTGACAATGACAGCCAAACCTGTGAGGACCCCAAGCCTCAGCGGCAGGTACTCCAGGGAGCGCTCCAGCTTGGCATGCAAGAGGATGACCTGGTGTTCGGTGATGCTCCACTCGCCTGAATTGTCTAGCACGTGGTTGGCCATGCGGACCTTGTCCTTCAGGGGCAACTGGGCCTTGATGCGTGCCTCTGCGTCCTCTTGGTTCAGGTTGTTCCGTTTCATCAGCCGTGCCAGCTGTGTGTCTCGGTCACTAGGGATAGGGCAAAAATGCACTATAAGCCTCAACCTCCCTCTTGCCAGCAAGGCAATAGGGGTGGGCAGCTAGGTCAGGCCTGGTTTGGAATAGAGTCTGGTTATTGGATCTTCCATTGACTCCTATGTTACTATGGGCTATTTAGGGTCCCACAGCCAGAGAGGGGGGCCTGGAAGCTCATGGTTACCTTTTACCTCACCTCATTTTTGTAAGGACCTTATAGCTTTTTAGGCCATCTAATGAAGAGCAGCTGTTCTCCACCATCCGGGGCCTCTCTGATTTGTCACTAGGCCTGAGATTCTCCAGATGAAAGACAGGAAGATTTTGTCACCTAGAATTAGTTACATCCTGGACCCCTGCATGGGTGACCTTTATTGAAAGGCCTGCACCTGCAAGTTGAACACTGCCTGCAGTTCCCAGGAGGGAGTATCACAAAGATTCCTCTTCTTGCCACCATACTCCACCCCTGTACATTCAGGGCAAAAGGACTGTACTGAGACGGTGGCTGCTGTGCTTTCTGCCCATGATGAATTAGGATGGACAAACCTTAGGAGCTTCAAAAAGGAGCAAGGACTCAATCTTAAATCCCTTAGGGCAGGACTAAGCACTGTAGATAAGCTGAACAGTACGTCGTCTTCCAACTCCAAGGGAAATTCAAAGAATGCTTCTTTCACCACCCCAATATAGCCATCAGGATCCTTTCTCAGGTAACTTCTCTCCTGCCTACAGCCACAGGAGCTGCCATGTTTGGTTGGCTGTGGTAGTCCTCTAGAATGGGGCCCCCCATACACCTTAACTCTATGAGTTACCTCCTTTATTATGGGGATGGTGTGCTGTTGCAGGCATGGGGCTGTTCCTTGCCTGGCTAAGAACAGGACTATATCCAGCCTTAGTCAGGAGTATACTGTGGCTGGGGAACCCAAGTGAGAAGTGGCCCAGGGCTATCTGAGTGCACTTCCTAAGATGTGGCTTCCTGAAATCTGAGGGCAGCACCCTCTAAAAGCCCCACCTGGGGCTGAGATATAGGACCATTACAGTCAGTTTAAGACTTGATGCTATTTGTGGCTATGGAATTTTTATCTAAACACTTATCTTATAATTGTCAAATTTCTCAAAACTATGAATAATCATGTTTATGTATAATCATGTTTGGGAAATGCCCCATGTTATTTCAAATGTACCAGGTGTAGTTTGCCTGGTAAAGAATAGAGCATTTGGGTGAAAAGTAAACAATCACTTACCTTTCTGGTCTCTGTCAAGAGTTATACATCCTCATGTGCTGAAATGAGTCATGAATAGCACCCAGGATTCTGGTAAAATCTCCTCTGCCTAGTGAGTGGGACTGAAGACCTCTTGAAGAACAGGCAAAATTGGCAAAGCCCCACTCATCAGCCAGAAGCTGCCATTATTTCTGCTCCTAGCAAACAGACTAACCTCAAAGGAAGGTAGAGTCATTCTAGGATTGCAAAAGCAACTGCCTACTGTTGTCTCACCTTCACTCTAAAATCTAAAATCCTTTTTTGTGCCAGGTGCTAATGGCTCACACCTATAATCCTAGCTACTCAGAAGGCAGAGATCAGGAGGATCATGGTTCAAAGCCAGTCCTGGGCAAACAGTTCTCAAGACCCTATCTCAAAAAAGTCCATCACAAAAAGGGGCTGCTGGAGTGGCTCAAGTGGTAAGAGTGCCTGCCTAGCAAGCGTGAGGCCCTGAGTTCAAACTCCAGTCCCGCCAAAAAAATGTAAAATAAAAAATTCTGTTTTGCAATTCCTAGATACCAAATTCCAATTGTATTATTAAAGTAAAGAGAATCCTAAGACTTCATGGGGCCTGCTTAGATTCAGTTGATAGTCTTTCACAAAGAAGGAACAAAGAACCCAGACAGGCTGGGTGCAGCTTAGTGGTAGAATACTTTCCTAGCATGTCTAAGACCCTGAGTTTAAGCCTCAGCACCGCAAGGAAAAAAGGAAAAAAATCCAGAGAGGCTACAGGTTTACGTAAGTAGGCACAGCCCAGTGGAAGAGCTGAGAGGATGCATATGTCCCACATCAGGCTCAAGGAATTCAGACTGAGTTTTCAGTGACAGCCCATGGGAGAGTTGGAGGAAGGGCAGGGCAATGCTTAGGGCACTGAGCATTCTGGGCCCCACCGCCAGTGTGCTACAAGCCTCCCACGCATTAATCTCTTGAGAACCACCACCCTGTGCCCAAAATACCTGCAGAGCCAAGTGCCCACCTATGTCTGCTGTACTTGTGGGTGGTGTGGTATCCAGGAAGTTTCTGGGAAGCAGAGACACCCTGCAGCCTCATCTACTCTCACTTTGCAGGGATTGTGACTCATTTTCTCCGATGGTTTGATTCTCCTCTGTTTGTCAAACCTGGATTCTGGTTTGCTTCATGGCCTGAGGGATTCTGAGAACAAAGCTCCTTCCTCTGTTGGGCTCTGACAGCTCCCTCCACGCAGCTTTCTATTCATATATATTGCCAATGGGTTACCCTGAACAAATTCTCTAACTGCCCCCTTCAGTGTATGGCTCCCTGTCCTGAGAACCCATGCTGAAAAGTAAAAGAGTGAAGTAGTAAATGTGGGAGTTTTGGGGAAGTTGAGAAGTGTTCTAGAAGGCAGAAGGTTGCCAGGGGCATATCCAGCAGCCAGAAGGGGGTGCCCTTCCCAAGCGTGACAGAGGCCTGGGGAGACCCTCTCTTCCCACACCTTTCCCAGATGTATCTGGGTCAGGCACAGAAATTGGTTTCAATAGGCTTGGGGCACCACTGCCCAAACCCCCTGTGGAAAAGGCAAAGTGATGTGAGCTGTTTCCCTTACATACCGCAGGCCCTCCTTTCCAGCCTCAATTGACCAGCAATGACACATACTCACCAGTACACTACCACCGTGTGCTTCATGTACTTGAGCAGCTTCTTGGTCTCGAACAGGAGAGGGATATCCAGGATCACATAGCGGTATCCTGGGGAAAAGATGCAAGTATACTCAGAGGACTGCTCATGTGGCTGGCCCTACCATCTAGAGTACCCCAGCGAGGGGAGACCTTCCAAGGACAGATATACCCTGAACACCAGCCAGTTCCAGTGCCACTTGGAGTAGAATGTTGCAGAAAATAATTTCTGGCTGGCTGATCAAGGAAGACCTTGTATAATGGCTGGTATTTGTACTGGCCTTGAAAAGCAGGGAAGACGCTTGATATGTGGAATGAGAATGCAGATACTTGAGAAGGAATGAAGACCAGCACAGTCCAAGGAGTTAGGAGGTACAGCCTAAGTGGAGGCCATGAGCACAGTGTGGTAGAGTTAACTAGGTGGTCAGGGTAGGCACAGAGAGTTTAATCCCCGCCAACCCCCCCCCATCTTCAACCCAAAATTATTATTTCTTTTTTTTTTTGGGTGGCACTGGCACTTGAACTCAGGGCTTCATGCTTGCCAGGCAGGCGCTCTACCACTTGAGCCACTTTGTCAGCTCTTTTTTGTATTGGGTATTTTCGAGATAGGGTCTCGAGAACTATTTGCCTGGGCTGGTCTTGAACCTCAATATTCCTGATCTCTGCCTCCTAAGTAATTAAGATTATAGGAGTGAGCCACCAGTGTCTAGCTGAATTGTTATGAAACGGTCAAGTTGTAGGAGACTGGGGAGTTTCTGAGAGTAGTTGGCCTCTCTGTCCCACTTCAATCTACTTTTGCTCAAAAAAACCCAAAGGGTAGGTTCTCTCCCAGGAGCCAGGTCCAGATCTGGCCCCCTGCTGAAGAGTCATGTGGCCATTTCTGCAGCTCTCTATGAGAGGCCAATAGAAGAGGGGCGGCAGCAGCCCTAAAAGGAAAGAGGCTGTTTATTGCATCAGAGGCAGTGGGGGTGGTTCCAACTAATAGGACACAACTCCTTCAATGGGAAAAAAGGCACTGCCAGCCTTCCTACAACCAGCCAAGCCCAGACAGAAGCAGAACCCTTACCCACGATGAGTAGGCATGTCCCCAGGCTGTCTGCCCAGAAGTACTGTGGGCTACATGGTTCTCTATCCTGTGTGGATGTACAAAGCTGGGAGGGACAGGGAAGCAAAGAGGGTAAGAGACAGGGACTGCTTCTGCTCAGAGACCCTGGAAGGTATTTCACTCCAAACACTTCCAACCACATGTCACACACACCAATTCAGAGGTATCACAGGAAATCAGCACTCAAGGTGTGATGTAGGGGATAAAGTGACAACCAGAGCTGCTGAGATTCCTGCTCCCCAGGACCTGTGGCTCAGGTCCTATAGTTGGACAAGGGGGTTGACAGCATAGGTCTGATGACACACCTTGGTTTGTAGCCCCCCACAACCCCACCAATGATCCTTAACAAACCTCACCTGTACAATGAGTAAAGGAATACCTGCTTCACAGGCTGATGGGAATGATTAAATGAGCTTGGAATATACATAGACCACTCACTAAGTGCCCCATAAATGATGGCTATTATTGTTATTGTTCCCAGGAGGAGGGAGGCCATCAGAGCTGCTCCCCACCTCCCTCAAACTCACTTTCCCCAGCTCAGAGCCAGAGAAAAGACCAGATCCTCTCAGGACCTCTTATCTCCCTTTCCTGCTCCACTCCCACTTCTTCCTCTTCTCTCACTGTCCTTTCTCCTGGGTTCCTCTCGGGAGCTGGTGGCCAGCTCTTTGGTTCACCAGCAAAGGGCTATTCAGCTGTCACATCCCTCCTGCTTGATAAGCCCTGCAAACCATCCTGACTCTATTAAGACATCTGCCTGCCTACACAGAGACCTCCCCAACAGCTGGTGATCTTATCTGACGTTTGATTATACCAACTTTGACAGTTGTATTTGTTATACTCATCAGGGAAAAACTGGGACTGTGGAAGTCACAGCTGTTGTCCCCATTTTTCACCTTATCAAGCTGAAAAGAGCTTTCTGGCTTTTATTTAAGCGATGGTGGTTGGGGAGGCGGGGAGGCTGGGTGGATGACACAGTGGGAGAGCTTTGGAGTGGATGACATTATCCAATGCTTAATTTCAGAAAGGGAGAGGCACTGGCACCTCGCAGCCCTGCAGATGTACTTGTAACTGGCCTGGGAGCAAATGCAAAGGGCAAGAATGAAAGGCAGAAGGCTTTGCTGGTGCGTGGGGGCAGGAGGGGGACTGGCAAACACAGGAGGGAGGACAAAGGCAGAGAGTCCAGACTCTTCTTGAGAAAGGATGAAGGGAGGAGGCTGCAGCAAGGTACCACTGGGACAGACAGCACAAGGTGGTCTGGAAAGGCAGATGTTGAAAGCCAGTTCCAATCCCAGCCAGAGATGTGGGGACAGAGGGGCAGGGTGGGTCAATAGCATGAATGCCTGTCAAGTTACCCTCTTCTAAAATGAGGTATTGGTTAGAGGGGCATGGAGTGAGGAGAGATTCCCCACTCAGTACACAAGAACTTGAGGCATGACAGATAAGGGGTTTGCCCATGGTCAGAGTGAAAGCCCAAAGAAAATCTAAAAGGTGTAGGGTATGGAGGTGCATGCCTGTTAAAATCCCACGGGGCTGGTGGAGGGGCTCAAGTGGTAGAGTGCCTGCCTAGCAAGTGTGAGGCTCTGAGTTCAAACTCCAGTATCTCAAAAAAAGCAAAAACAAACAAAAAACCCCAGCTATATAGGGGGCACAGGTACGAGAACTGAGTTCCAAGGCTGGCCCCGGGTAAAAATGCCAGACCCTATCCAAAAAATAATGCAAAAAAGGGTTGGGGGCATGGTTTAAGTGGCAGAGCGTTTGCCTAGAAAGCTTGAGGCCCTGAGTTCAAACCCTAGTACCACCAAAACAAAACAAAAAAGTCCATCCCATACTCCCCAGTAAAGTCTCCACATCGTGAATGACATTGGCAGCCAGGCCTTCAACTCAGAGGCCCAGGTTAGAGGCCACATACACCAGGAAGATCTCCAGGCCCTGGGCTAGCCTCCCTGTCCTCCCATCTCTCCTGGTGACTGGCACCATCCCAGTCAGGTCACCCCTGCCTAATACAGTCTTGAACAACAGGGTGAAGATTCTTACCACCTGACTACACATCTTATTTTTCAAACACTCTCCCTTTGTTTCAATCTTGGCACATCTCTGGCTGTCCCTGCACCTGTCAGGCTAACTTTCTGTGGAGCCCTACCCCTGGAGGATGACACCCCTCCACCAAAACCTCTCTCCTTTCCCTGGTCATCTTGGGCCCTCCCTAGCTTCCACCCTACAAACTTGCTTTTCTAAATCTTCAACCAGCACCAAAACCGACTGACTGTGGTTTCTATTTGTGAGATAATCAAGTCACTGGGTGCTCAGTCTTGCTACAGCTTTTCAAGGTTGGCATTACCAAAACTGTGCAGATGAGAAATAGGCCAAGGGGCTGGACCACTTAACAAAGTCCTACAGTTACAAATGTCAGGGTCAGGACTTGACCTCAGGTCTATAACTGTTATTCATCAGCTATCATTACTACTGACCCTACTAGAAAAATCAACTTACTTCCTAGGAATTATGGCCTCATTGCCTCATCTCATTAAACTGTCAACTTCCTAAAGAGATGAGGGACATGTGCTTCTTTCGTCTGGGGTGGCATGGGCTCTGCACTGAGGGGAGTGCTAATAAGCAGTGTAAACCCATCAGCATGGATGATCAGCTCCCCGACCCTGGTCCAACATTCCATAGAGAAAAGCCCCAGCCCTGCAAGGAGAGGGCTTTGCCTCCTGCCCATCCCAGGCTCAGGGTCTCACCACAGAGGAAGTATTTGAAGGTCTCCTTCATCATTTCCTTGTGGATCTCAGGGTGGGTGATGGAGTTGAGCAGCTGCCGCCGGTCAGGCTGGTTAAAGATCAGATCCCCTAGGACCTTGCGATTGATGTTACCATCCTGGAGCAAGACCTCAGTTCCAAAAGCCTCCACAATGCGCTGGTGGGCGGGGTACCCTGGCTGGACCACTGTGGTATGGAAAGGATGTTGGGTCACTCTCCAGAGCCTCCAGCCAGACAGCCAGAGGACCCCAAGTGACCAGAAGCAAAATGATGGGGGAACACTTTGTTTTGAGCAGAAACAAAATGATGAGGAAAAAGTAGTTAGGGAAAGAGCAGAGTGCACAGAATCCTTCAGGCTGGTCATGGGGCCAGGTGAAGGAGGGCAAGACTTCTAAGGAGAAGGAAGAATAAACAGGAGCACAGAGGGGAGGCTGGAGTAGAGACAGGAAAGCCTCCCTCTCCTTCAAGTCCCTGAGGCCTTACAAAAAGGGAGGCTAGACAAATGCCAGTGGCTCATACCTATAATCTTAGCTACTTGGGAGGCTGAGATCAAGAGGATTGCAGTTTTGAGGTCAGCCTGGGGAAACGGTTTTAAGACTGTTTCCAAAACCAGAACAAAATGAACTGGAGGTGTGGCTCATGTGGTAGAGCACTTGCTTTGCAAGTGTGAAGCCCTGAGTTCAAATCCCAGACCCACAAAAGGGAAGAGGGAGGCTGATGGAAGAAAGGAAGGGAAGCTGCTGTGTATAATCCCCCCAAGTCACCCCTCTCCAACTCACCGTGCCGAGCAATGACATCCACATCAATCACCACACAGCCTAGCTGATGGAACACCTGGATCACAGAGCTCTTGCCTGAGGCAATGCCCCCTGTCAGGCCCACCAGAAACATCTTCCCAGGAAAGAGGAAGGTCAGCCACACTAGGAACCAGGAGCCAGGGAATCACACTGGAGAGTAGGGCAAACTTGCTGGTAGAGCCGTCTACCGCAGCCAACATCAGAAGGACCTGCTGGCAGAGGGAGACAGGCCTGGTCAGCACTGGAATGCTTCAAGGGCTGGCGGAGGAAGGCAGAGGAAGGGACGGGAGACACAGCAGGCCAGGCAGGGTCCAGTCCTAGGCTTGGAGAACTCTAGGGTTGCTCCCAAGAGGAAACGCTCTAGTGTACTTTAAGAAGAATTGATATAGGGCTGGAGGGAGGTGTGGCTCTTGTGGCAGAATGCTTGCCTAGCAAGTGCAAATCCCTGAGTACAAGCCCCAGTTCTACCCCTAAGCCCCTCAAAAAAGACAAGAAGCCCTGAATACAAGTCTGAAGGCATGGCGTAAGTGGCAGAGTGCCTGCCTAGCAAGCTTGAGGCCCTGAGTTCAAACCACAGTACTGCAAAAAAAAAAAAAAAAAAAAAAGAAAAGCACTGATACAGCAGACCACAGTGGACAAGCAAGATTCGTTAGGCTGAGTGCTTTCTGGAGGGACAGGCTCCATTGCAGGCAGGTTTCCCACAGGAAGAAGATACCTGTTACTCTGTGGTAAACTCAAGATACTTTATAGACATCCTCAGTCTCTACTGGATTCCTCTGTAGTCTGGGACACTGTGCTCAAGAAGTAGAAATGGCCTGCCTGCAACCACCCAAGTGGATTGCAAGAGGGGCCACAAATAGAAGCCAGGTGCCTGAGCCCTCTTTTACCCCAATGCCTCCTCCTCGCAGAAGGTCCCACTACCCATTCTGCCCAGTAGCTCATCTAGATGGGGATGGACAGTCCCTTCTCCTCAACTGAGAAGTGGCCCTGGTGAGGAGATCAGCAGAAAGCAGAGTCCAAGGTTGGGAAGTATGGCTTTTACTAAGGAATGTGATGCAAAGGATGTCACAGGGCTACACCCTGGAGCTTGGTGTTGTGGTTTATGGTCCTCTCACACTGAGCAGTGGGAACATAGCATAAAGTTAAAAGTAGGAACCAGGTCTGGGGGGCATAGCTTAAGTGGTAGAGCACTTGCTTAGCAAGCTCAAGGCCAAATTCAATCCCTAGACCACAAAAAGAAAAAGAAAAGGCAGAATCCACTTCAGATCCAGATCCTCCACTTACATGCAGTGCAACACTGGGCAAATCATTTGCTTTTCTGAACCACCTGTTTTCTTATTCATAAAATGGGGTAACAGGACCTGCCTCATAGCACTGAATTCAGTTGCGCACTGAATGAGAAAATGCATATAAAGTCCATGGTGCACTGTATGATAAGTAGCAAATGCCCAATAATTGGAGTAAGTCTTGTGATATAGGGTGGAAGGTAGGGGCTAAAGTTACATTATAAGAAGCCGGGGACCAGTGGGGCTCATGCCTGTAATCCTAGCTATTTGAGAGGCTAAGGTTGGGAGGATAATGGTTCGAGGCCAGCCCGGAGAAACAGTTTGCGAGACCCTACCTCCAAAATAACCAGAACAAAATGGACTAGAAGTGTGACTCAAGAGGTAGAGTGGCTGTTTTGCAAGTACAAAACTCTGAGTTCAAACCCCAGTCCCACCAAAACAAAAAAAATTTATATTGCAAGGCACAGAGAGGAGAAAAAAGACGTAGATGAAGTCACATTTCCATTTCTGCCACCTCAGTCTACCTCACAAGATTCATGTTGCAGTTTCTTTAGCAAATGGGGTGGCCATGTCTTAGACTTTGTTCCCAGGCTGAAGCAATTACATCCTTCCTTCAGTGTTGAATCACTTCTCCAGGACTTTGAAATCTGTCGTAGCACCTCTTTTTGTTAAACAGCATATTTACTGTCCTAATTTCACTTTGCCAGGGCTTACCCTGAAATGAGTTTGCCTCCTCTGATGATGCTCCAAATGGGAGGCAGTTGCTTGCATGTGGGCTGAGTGGGTGTGTGGCTTAGGCAGGCAGGGAACCAACTTAGAAATTTAAATCTGCCTAGGCTCATTCTCACTCAGGGAACCAGGGTCACAGAGGAGAATATCCATCAGACTCATCATTCAAACAGAGACCTAACTGAAGAAGAAAAAGATAAGCCACTTAGTTGAAACTCTGCAACAGAGAATGCAGTGCCAGTATCTTGATCCCCACTCTCTGCTGTTGTCCCTAAAGTAAGGACAGTCTGCTTCTCTTTGCTGAAGACTAGTCTGGAGAGCTGGGATTGGGATTTAAGGATAGGACAGGTCTGGTGAGGAGCAAAGGCCAGTTTCTCACAGAGCCCTGACTTATCATTGATGGTGAGCCATTGTCACCCCACCTTGCCAGCCTCAGCTGAGGGGGCCTGAAAGATCATTTGGCTGAGTAGACCCCAAACTACCTGTATGCAGACCCCTCTGGAGACCTAGTGAATCAGATTCTCCAGGGATGGAGCCACCTGAGTGGTCCTGATGTGTAGCAGGGCTCAAAATAGATCTGAACTCTTCATTTACAGCACAGGAGAGTGCAGAGCAGAGAGGGGAAGAGGCCTGCACAGGTTATAGCCATTAGCAGAGGCTGGATGGATTCAGGGCTCCTAACCCCTAGTCTATACCCTCATCTTTAATGTACTCAGGGAATGAAAATTAACTTACTGTTAGACTGATAAAATAAGAAGGGTGAATGCGTCTGGAGGCAAATGAAATTAGAACCAAAGAGAAACGATTTCTTGATTATGATACTGTTTTCTTCTGCAGAGTGGGGGTGGATAGAAGGCTTGTGCATAGTACCCAGGGCACAGATGTAAACTGCAGGCTCCCAGGATAACCTAATGAATAGCTTCCCTTCTCAGTACCTTGCATGGCCATCTGTAGAAACAGTCAGTCAGCTGTTTGGCCTCTGTGAGGAAGGCTGAGGGGACAGAAATCATGTGCCCAGGGAGGATCTGGGCTATTGGCTTGAAGGGACCACATGAGTACCAGCTGCTCCTGTCTAACAAGCCCCTCTGTAACTCATCCCTTCACCAACATCGACTGAGCTCCTCTATGCTTTGCAGCAACAGTGTTAGGGACCTGTTGGACAACCCAAGGAAAAAAGGTCTTGCCTATGGGGAAAACTGGACTCAGACAGTAACAAATGAGAACAGTTGGGAGGAACGGAGCACTGACAAGAAGTGGGAGTAGTCAGGCAGTGCTTGCCTGTTCCGTGTGGGAGCTCCTTATGGGCAGCTGCACCCAGATCTGAAAGCTCTGCTGGAGGAGGAAGCCACCGCAAACTTCGAGTCCACTCTCCTCTTGAGGCCTAGCAAGGGGGAAATAGAGACTTAGCTTCCAGGCTACCTCCAAGTTCTACCCAAACCTATTAGCAACTCCCCAAGGCACATATGGATAAGTGAGCCCCTTTGACAACCTGTGTTTATGACCTCTTCCTGATCTGGATCAAGTTCATCACTCTATTTCCCTCATCCCACTCCCACTTACACAGAGCAGCTGGCCTAAGGTAGGATATATCAGGGACAACAACACGTAAGAAACAGTAGCCAGAAGAGACAAAAAAGAAAAAAAAGAAACAGTAGCCAGAAATTCCGAGATAAACACTGTATTAATGAACAGCTTGATTAAAAACACACAGGCCCTACTTTCTTTGCTTCACATCATCACACTAAGTTACAACATATAGTTAAAAACAAAAAAAAGACAAGAAAAGAAATGACAAAAAACAAAACAAAAACCCAGCTTTCTCCCTTTGACCTTGCCTACTTGCCCAAATGATTACGTTGTGGGAACTAAGCAAGAATATCTTAAAGAATGTCACTTATCCTGGGGAAAAATTTTTGGTGAAATGATTCTTGTGATCACAGAAATTATTACAAAGGAACAATTTACTTTAAGGAGCTTAAACTCTTGGCTTAAAAGGATGAACTCCATCCTTTGTTTAAAGAGATGCTCAAGGAAAACAGATGTCTACGTCACAACGACCCAAATTTAGTGAACTGACCAGACTTGGTATCTCTGGGCACAAATGATAATGTCAAATCAGGATAACAGTAAGAATCAATGTACCAGGTGTACAAAACAAAGGGGAGCCCTTAAATTCACTAAGGTGAATTTAAGCTGAACCCCCAACCCACTTTTTCACAATACATACCTGATGTTCAGAGTACTAAGGTTGCCTCTTACCAGCTGTCCCTGCACTAATTTCTGGGTGTGTACTATCCTTTCTTTTGCCTTCCTTTCTAATAAACTTTCTTGGTCTCTAGCTCAATGTGTCCCAAAATCCTTTTTTTTTTTTTTTTCTGATGGTATTAGAGTTTGAATACAAGGCCTGGCACATGTTAGGCAGGTGCTTTAACACTTGAGCCAAGTCCCCAGCCCCAAAATTCTTTTTCTGCGACATCATGAACCTGGTACCCAACAGCCAGGCAGAGGTCTCCTCCCTCTGGAGACCGTTCTGAAGCTGTACTGGTTCTCATAACAGGACCTCACAGCTGTTCCTAAGCCTGGCTATGATCTGAATTCTCTATTAAACTTTCAAGAGTACAGAAATCAGGCTCCACACCAGCCTACTGAATCAGAATTAGCTAGGCCAGAAGCACTGGCTATAAAAGGGAAGGTTGTGGGCTGCAGCTGAGAAGCCAAGAGCCCAGCCTCTGAACTCTGCCATAAAATCACCTATGTGACTGCAGGGAACCATCTCACCAGCCTGGAGCAGGGTACTCAGTGTTCTGCAAATGAGAAACAGCAGAGCCCCAAAGGCCTTGCCTTCCCTGAGCCTCAGTCTCCACACCTGTGAAGGGGGCTGGGCTTCCAGTGCCAATGCAGTGACAGCTCTTAGAAGAGACTATGAATCTCATGAGTGTTTTATTGTTCTCCCCTGAGTGCAGTCAATAAACGTTCACCTGATGAATCAAGGAGTGCCACAATCAATGGTGGCCTGAGACTTCCTCTGCAATGCCAAAGGCTGTTCACAGAGCTGGCTTGGCTGGAGGAAAGCTAATACCCAGTGCAGAAAAATGGAGCTGGAGCTTGGAACCTATCATGCTTCACCTGCCAAGGTAGGACTGGAGAAAAAGCAGGACTCCAATTCCAAGGGAACCACTGCTTTTTCGCTCATTGTC